GTGAATTGTCTTCTTTTCCCTAGATTTGGATCTGAAATTCCGCTTCCCAGACCCTGCCTTCTCTGGCTTCCGTCCACGGTCTCGATTACCCTTGACATATAAGCTATCAACTTGAGAGATTTCTTCTGCATTCTGCTTCCGCTGGTTATGAACCAACAAGGTTGTAGTAATCTCCTCAACTTTGATAGTCTCTTTCTCATATGTAAGAGTAGTCACCATGTGTTCGTAAGAGGGAGGTAACGAACACAACAGAATCATCGCTTTGTCTTCATCCTCAATTTTCACATCAAGCCGAGCCAAATCAGAAATGATTTGATTGAAGACATTCATGTGTTGCACCAAATCATGATCGTCCTACATCTTCAGCCCATACAGCCACTGCTTTAAATACAGTTTAGTCGTTAAGGATTTGGACATAAACTGACTTTTCAACTTCTTCCAAATTTCATCTGGACACGACAGATGCATGACGTGATACATGACCTCGTCCACCAAACATAACCGTATGGTTTCTGCCGCTCGCCGTTGCAATTCTTCCCAATCTTCCTCCTCCATCGACGCCGGCTTTGTAGGTCGCAAAGCCTTCAGGATCCCTTGCTGCGCCAACAGATCCTTCACCCTTGTTTGCCATAATCCGAAGTTACCCCGAACATCGAATTTCATAACTTAGAATTTTGCTCCTGACATCTGATACCAATTGTTGATGAATCGGGTAAAGAAAAATGAAAGAACACAAGAATTTTAACGAGGTTCAACAATGTGCTTACGTCCTCGATGCCTAGGTGGCACTAGAAGTTTTATTCAATATCTCATAGGTTTAGGTTACATCTCTATTTATAATAAATAAACCTTGGTACATAATTACAAAGTTAACCCTGTACCGTACCGTGGGGCTGCACCCCCGTACCCCCAACCCACATAATCGTAACCCGCGGGGGCTTCGCTCACTCTGCTCCATCCCCTGTCCTCTTTACCGGCATATTTATGAGCCATACCTAATAGTGATAGGGATGAGTATAAATTTAGTGGATAATGGGAGGGTGTGGATGTAAAAAGTCATACCTACCGTGAGTAGTGGATAAGTCATAGATTTAAGACCTTACTTGTCTCGTATCTGTCCAGCCTGCATCCGCCCACTCACTAAATACCCACCGTATAAATTTTGAATCATTATGAATTTAGGTATAATTTAAGAGACTATTTTATTAATCTTAAGATTTTATAGGATATTACTTGTATTTTAACCAAATGTTAAGGTATAAACAATTTTTTAGAATTAAAGATCGTCATTTCTCGTATCTCAAATTCTCAATCTTTAGGATTAATGTTGCTGCTAGATGGATATAGACTATTTCTACGGTTGGCCTCTATGAAGTTAAAAGTAATATTCTTGGGCTTGTTCAAGATTCAAATGAAACTCCGGTCATTAATTTTGCGTTGAATATTTTTGTTCAGTCTGGATAGATTGGTGGTAACTGTGAAGACATGTTTTGTTTTCCATGTTGTTGGTGAGTGACTTGATTTAAAGCGGTGTTTATCCCGTAAAATGGTGATCAGTTTTTTTTATATTTTTAATGTTTCTGGAGTTCTTAAGACTATCGAGTCATGTTTTGTCTAAATGATGATGGTAACTGTTATTTTTTATGGGGTGGAGTTCAATTCTTTATTCAGATGTTGTGTCGTTTGATATTGATGGTGGTATGAAGTGTTTGTTTGCTGGGCTCTCTTGATTGTTAGGCTCTTGTTGTTTTGTTGTCTTTCTGACTTTGACTTTCTTTATTGTTGTGGTTTTTGGTTGTTTGTACTCTTTTCTCTCGTTAAGGTTGAAGGAGCTTTATTGGTTAGTTTTGTTAAAGGGCATGTGTCAATTCCTAGAGTAGTTGTGGTGTTCTGCGTTGTTGAGCGAAGTTTGAATGTCGAGGTAAGTACTCGTAATCAATAATTCAGGCTGATAGGAATTTCACTAATGGCAAGTTAGAGTTTCTTGGTTGGTAGAGTGTGATCGTGGCTGTGGTGAATTCATTCTTGTAAGTCTTAATGAGTTACAGAGGTTTGTTTGCTGGTATTGTGGGTCTTTGGAGTCTGTTTGTTTGTTTTTTTTTTAGGGTTTTTTTTTTGGATGGTAGTTGTTGTTGGGGAGGCTTCATCTCAAATTGTTTTATTGTCTCATTGGATGGTTTTGTAATTTGTAAGTTTTGTTTGGTCAAATTTTATGTATTTTTTCCTCTATTTAGGATTAGCGAGGTTTTTAAAGAGCTATACAATTTGATCCAATTTGGTCCGTTCCTTAATAAATTTTCTATTGTTGAGCGAAAAAATTAATATTGAGTGTGGGAATAGATTTGAGAATGTACCCGCGTAAGCAAGTGTAGATTTAAAAAATTTATTCATCGTAAGTGGTGAATAAGTAGTGGATACGAAAATATTAAATGTGTATGAGGATGAGAAAAGAGGTATCTATACCCGTCTCGTTCGTTTATCATCCCTAATCATCATTGTAAAAAATACTTTTTTTAGCACAACAAAGATATTTTTATTAATATTTGTAAAAGTTAGTTAAAAACCAAAAGATTACCCATCGACGTTTTAATGAAACTACAACATAAAAATTGATATCGAAATACTTTTTGGAAAGAAGACAAACTCAATAATGAACCACCATAGATCATTGCATACTATCCTAAAAACAAAAATACTATAGGTTATTAATGCAATTAGTCTTAATATAAAATAAAACATTTAAATCGTAAAATATAATTTTTATATGTAATATTATTAAAATTACTTATATATTTTACATATTATTCATATTGCGTTTTTAGTATAACTTTTCTTCTACAGTTATTTTTAAATAATTATTTTATAAAATATTATTTTTATTTTATTCTAGCCGGTCTAACATTATATGAACCTACAAGGGTCATTTGAAACAAATGAATAATAGCTGAATTGTATATGTGAACAAAATTTGTTGTACAACAATAAAAAATTTACTTAAAATTAATATATGCATTTGATACTATAGTGTTTTAACTATATATCATTTACTAAAATTATTATAATTATTGCATTTTATTAAAATTATTATAATTATTGCATTTGCTATATGTTTTAACAAAATTTGTTGTACACCAATAAAAATTTTACCTAAAATTAATATATGCATTTGATACTATAGTGTTTAAACTATATATCATTTACTAAAATTATTATAATTATTGCCATTATAAATTATCAATTAAAAATTAAAGATAAATGCACAAATTAAATGACCTTGGTGGTAAAAAAATTATTGTTATTCTTTGAGGTTTCGGGTTCGAACATCATAAATGTTAGGGGTATGAGCGTTCAATGTCAAATAGTTAAAAATAATATTTGAACAGATATTAACTTGTACTTATCCTAAATTAACAAAAAATAATATTAAAGAGAAATAATTATTATAATTATAACTCCTTTAAAAGTAAATGTATAATTTAGTTTAAAAACATCGGCGTTTGCGAATGAAATAAATTAAATTGGGAGGGTCGTCCTCGCCTCTACACTACCCGATTTGGATTAGTTAATCAATAGATCAGATATCAGTGATTAATTAAAAAAATAGTTTAAAAACATAAGTTATCCGATAAACTTGAAGATGTAGTTTATCCTTCATCTTCCAAAATTTCCTTGATCTATTCATAGATGTTTCGGTATCATTCCCGATAATCAATTCTCGCCTTTTATTCAAGATACGTGTCATATGGACCATTATGAAGTTTTCAGAGTTCGTTAAGCTTAACATTATACTGGCCCCAACCACTCTCTCTCGCATTGGTTTTCCTAAACAGAAAGAGTTATCTACTGAAAATATGTACCAAATATGAATCCATGAAGGCTGAAGAAAGCAATTTTCTTTCAAATATTTTACTTTCTTCTTTGCCAAATAGTATTAATGTCGATGTTTAATATTTGCATTTGTGAATTTTAAATCCATCTTATAATCAAATGTGCGTGTCAATTGCAACTTACAAGAAAAAAATTCATCATTATCATGATAATAATAATAATAATGCCATTCCCAAAAGATGGTGGAGAAAACAATGGCATCTGTAATGGAATTGCCATGCATGGTTATGTAATCAATTGCAAAAATCCACACCTACTGTCGTCATACACATTTGTTACTAGTGAATCTCCACATCAACCACTATAAATTACTACAACAATTTGCAGCCTAGGGCATCGGCCGTCTCTTTTATTTTTCTTTCCTTGGGAAAGCCGGCAAAGGGTAGCCATCATCGATCAACAGCCGAACCAGAAAAAGAGCCGCGTGTGGTCCGGCTGACGTTTAAGTCTCTGACGAATCTGACATGGCACTACACGTAGGACCTACATGTCGGGTTCCTTTATTACCAAAACTACGTGTCATGGGGCTCACGTGTCCCCTTCCCATGCTACACCTAGGGGACACTAGAAACGTTTTTGTAAAACACACAATTCCATTGACTTCCCTCCAAGACACAAACTATATTCCTTCGGCTCTACAAGTTACCGACGTGGCACATAGCATTGGATCAATAATTTTATTATTAGGGACATTAATATGATTTTATGTTTGAACATAATTTCATAAATTTTTTAGAAGATTAGTTTAAAATATTAGAGACTAAAAAATGTAAAAGTATATTTAAAGTAGATGATAGTTTAAAATTTTAAAAGAATGACTATTTATATGTTTTGGGTGTATCTTTACTTATGAGAATGAATACTTCTTTATCTTAAAATTTAAATTTTATTCGATTAATTATTTATTTTGTTGTTAATATGATAATATCTATCCTAAAATTTTATTTAATCCAAACCATTCAAAAAGAATATATTATTAATATATGAGTATAACCTAAAAAATATTTTTGTATGTGCCATTCATAACACACAAATGCTCGCCTCCTCTATATAAGCGACCCTTACCTCCCCCAGCTTCCCTCATACCTTCGTCCTGAGTTGGCAATATTCGAATCCATTTGCTTTGTTAATTGCTTATATTTCATCCTTAATGGCTGTTGATTCAACTCTCCCCTCTGCAGTTGGCGCCACCGGTAGCGAGAAAGATGCCAAACCTCTTCTTTTCATCGAAGAGATGACGAAGAATGTTGATTCGGATCAAGAGAGGGTTTTAGGTGAGATCTTAACTCGAAATGGAGAGACTGAGTACCTCAAACGGTTCAACCTCAATGGAGCTACGGATCGGGAAACATTCAAGTCCAAAATCCCAGTTGTCATTTACGAGGATCTTCAGCCTGAGATCCAACGTATCGCCAATGGTGACAAGTCCCCCATCTTATCTTCTCACCCCATTTCCGAGTTTCTTACCAGGTACTAGTTTTAGCATTTAACAATGGGATTTTATATCATTTTGTACTCGTTTATGAAGTAGTTTTGGGGGTTTAATTTGCAGTTCTGGGACTTCTGCTGGAGAAAGGAAGCTGATGCCGACGATTCATGAAGAGTTGGATCGTCGTCAACTCTTGTACAGCCTTCTCATGCCTGTAATGAACCTGTGAGTATTTTTGCAGTTCAGCTGGAATTTTATATTGTTTGTTGAATACAAAAGGTTGATAATTATGTGTTTTGATTATGATAGTTACGTGCCGGGATTGGACAAAGGGAAGGGACTTTATTTCTTGTTTATAAAAGCTGAAACAAAGACCCCAGGAGGGCTATTGGCACGCCCCGTTCTTACCAGCTACTACAAAAGTGAACACTTCAAGAACAGACCTTATGATCCCTTCAATGTGTACACCAGCCCCAACGAGACCATTCTTTGCCCCGACTCGATCCAGAGCATGTACGCCCAGATGCTGTGCGGCTTGATCATGAGGGAAGAGGTCCTTCGTGTCGGTGCTGTCTTCGCTTCCGGCCTACTCAAGGCGATTCGTTTCCTTCAAGTCAACTGGAAACAATTTGCTCATGACATCGAAACTGGGACTTTAAACCCTAAAGTCACGGATCCTTCGGTTCGAGAATGCATGAACAAAATCTTGAAACCTAACCCTGAACTTGCTGCGTTCGTTACCAAGGAATGCTCGGAGGAGAATTGGGAGCGGATCATCACCAGGGTTTGGCCCAACACCAAGTACCTCGACGTGATCGTAACCGGAGCCATGGCTCAATATATTCCTACCCTCGAATATTACAGTGGTGGTTTGCCCATGGCTTGCACCATGTACGCTTCGTCCGAGTGTTATTTCGGTCTTAATCTCAAGCCAATGTGTAAACCATCCGAGGTTTCATACACCATCATGCCAAACATGGCTTACTTCGAGTTCTTGCCTCATGAATCATCCGCTCCAGAGCTGTCTCGCGACTCACCGCCGCGCCTCGTTGATCTTGCTGTTTTACAAGTCGGCAAAGAATACGAACTCATCGTCACTACCTACGCCGGGTTGTGCCGTTACAGGGTCGGCGATATCCTCAAAGTCACCGGTTTTCACAACGCCGCTCCGCAATTCCGTTTCATTAGGAGAAAGAACGTATTGTTGAGCATTGATTTCGACAAAACCGACGAGTCCGAGTTGCAACAGGCCATAGAAAACGCTTTGGTTTTGCTCAAGGAATTCAACACCAGCGTGGTTGAATACACGAGCTACGCGGAAACCAAACATATACCCGGCCACTACGTCATTTACTGGGAACTGTTGGTCAAAGACGCTGCTAATGCCCCGACCGACCAATTTTTGAGCCAGTGCTGCTTCGAAATGGAGGAATCATTGAACGTAGTCTACCGTCAATGCCGAGTTGCAGACTCAATCGGTCCACTGGAGATAAGGGTGGTGAAAAACGGCACGTTTGAGGAGTTAATGGACTACGCAATTTCCAGGGGAGCTTCCATTAATCAATACAAAGTTCCAAGATGTGTCAGCTTCACACCCATCATGGAACTTCTCGACTCAAGGGTGGTTTCAAAGCATTTCAGTCCAGCTTTACCACACTGGAAACCTGAACGGCGTCGTTGAGCGCACTTGGCATGATGCCATCAACGCTTTAATTAGTCTTGGAGAAAAAAAGAATAAAAGTTGAAGAAATAATCAGCCTTGCTACCAAAAAAAAAAAACAGCAGCATCTTTTCAACAAAAGGCAAAAAAAAAAAATCAGATAGACAAGAAACAGTGGTCTCCTAATGTTGTAAAATTTTTAATTTATTTATGTTTTAAAAGTGTCTTTTTCTTCTTCTTCTCTTTTTCAATATGTTCGTGTAATAAAGATACGTTCATATGCAAATGTATTTGGGTTTTCTTGTCAACTGCATCTGCATCTCTCTGTCACTGTCTGGTCCCTTCCCTTGCAATCGTTTCTTAGATCTGTCTTTTCTTCCTTATCATAACGATGATCAAGAAGCACAGACATTAAAGACAAGTAGATCATGAACGTCAAATTACTGTATTTTTTCCTTTTTGAAAACACATCAAGTTACTGTGATAATATCTAATAAGGGATGAATTGAAGGAGAGTTGGGGACAGTAATTTTTTCCACACAGAAACCAGTTTAAATTTTTATATATTTTAAGTTATCTTTATAGTTTTTTATTTATAATTTTTTTTTAAATTTTATAAATTTATTCCTTTATTATAATTCTGTGTTTGTATATGTCAATATTATAAATGGGTTGATGTTTTCAATGATACATTTTATTATGTCTATTTATTTCAATCTCTGAGCCGTTTTCTGCGTGGATTTAGCTCACATGCTACATATTCCAATATCAGTTCTTATTTATTTATTAAAAGAACTGAGGATAGAATTTGTTTTACGACAGTCTATGTTTGAGTTGCTGATGAAGTCATTTGTTTGGAAGGATGTAAGAGATTTGGGTTCCGTTGATTCATTCTTGCTTTTAGTATAAGCCTTGGATCTGTTTGTTGTTTCTTTCTGCCTTATTGTGATAGTGTGCAGTGTACTACTGCTACTATTATTTTAATATTTTTGGCAATAACTAACGAATTTAATTTGTAGTTTTTTTTCTTTGCAATCATCCATAAAGAATTATTCCATGTAAATCCGAAGCTCAGAATTTTAGAAAGCTGGTTAGTGATTAATTAATTAATTACTTAAATACTGATATCTTGTAACAGTAGATTAAGATTATTTATAAAGAAATTAAATGATAAACCTTTATATAACGAGAATACTTCATTAATAACTTGCTTTCTTCCAAAATTTTCTACCTACTCTTGTTTTCTTGTGAGCGTGTCCTAGGCTGAGCAATTAAGTAATTAATAAAAAAAAATTTCCTCTCGGCAAGTGAAAATTTGGTAAATGTAAGCTTATAGATTTGGTAAATGATTTGGTTTATGTAATATCTGTTTATCATCAAGAGAATTTAGTTGTTAAAGAGAATATTATTTTTCTTTAAATCTTAGATTCAAACAATTACGTCTGTAATGTATATACATTGTCAATGGTCGCCCTACACCATTTAAAAGTATACATTTTCCCTATATTTCGCAAGCAATAACTTCACAAGCAGCAAACAAAGAAACTAAACCAACATACCAAAATGATTAATTCACCGCCTATTTATAGCAATTTAAAGGGAGAAAACTCCTAATTGAAATTTATTAAAAGAGAAAAGGCTCTGAACATGCATGCACGACATGCTTTAAACATGGTTTTAGAGAAAGGCAACTTGTTTATTGCTAAAGTCTAAAACTTTTTTTCCCCAAAGTAAAAATCTTTTGAATACCGCCTCAAATCGTTTAAAACCGAATCTGGGTTTCATTGAATCAGTCGACAAACACTGATTTCTTTTATTTTGGGAATCTAATAATTGAGGCGGCTAAAGCCTAAGCAAAAAGGAGATGGTAATGTCCCCTTTGCTCTTTCACTTTCAGCGGAGAAACCAGACGCCGGAGTCGAGGTTTGAATTATTGCCGCTCAAGTTCCCAGCCTCGCTACCTCTTCCCCTTCCCTATATAATATTACATACCATAAAATCAATTAATATTGTATTAATTACATAGCTAATTTAAAATACATATACTTATCAATTAACTTCTAGGTTTAGTTTTGAAAAAAAAATCCACTCAATTCATATGATTGTTATTGTGAAATTTAAACACACATAAACACCATAATCACTCGATTTTAAAAGATATAGTAATTTACGGACATTGTAATAAGTACACGCATGGTTTTATGTTAAGGATGCAACCTTAGGAAATTATATTATAAATTAAGGGATACGACCTAATGAAGTTATGTTAGAAATTTATGGGATGAGAAATCAATAGAAAATAAAAAGAAAATATCTAAATTATAAATGGAATTTGAAATTTCAGGAGCGGAATGCACCATATGACATTTATCAAATTTTAAATGTATTTATCAAAGCCAAAAAAAAATTATTTTCCCTTATTTTCCTTCCTTTACTCAAATCCTAACACAAGGTTAATTAACTTTCATGTTATGTATCCAAGGCATTCTCTTCTTACCTGATGTATGATGCTCATATTCCCAGGAGGGAAATTTGCATTGACAATCCCCAACGTCGATGGACGGTACATATTCCCATCAATATGCTCTTGAAGATGAAGATATCTCATTGGAGATGGTAAATTTCTGCAAACATCAAAATGAGATGCCAATTGTTTGTGAGATACAGTAAATAACTTGGAAAATATTAACAAAGGTTTTCTTTAAAGACCTTGAGGGTCGCAGAAGTCCATTTGATTCATCAGTAAAATTTACTGGAGCTTGAAGATTGGTGTGTGATGGCCAGTTCATCAAATTGTAGTTCAAACTTCGCGGTATCATAGGCTCCACACTTGCATTTTGTGCATGAAGTGCATTCTAAACACCAAAGCCATAAAGTATATCAGAAAATTTGTGATTATGGTGCCTTCAATCTAATTGTAACATCCCAAAAACCAGGTTAGTAACCAAAATGAAAGTTTTGAAAATTTAGTGCTCAATTTCGAAAAAAATTTGAAAGTTAAGGACTTAATTGGAATATCTTTGTGTAAGGGCTGAATAGTAAAGTTTGGAAGTATAAAGGGTATTATGGTATTTTCATAAGGAAGATTTTTATCTTTCCTTTTTGGGTTATAAAACACGTGGAAATGAGAGGGAAAAAGGAAAATAAAAGTCTGGAGAGTTGAGTGTTCAACTATCTTCTTCTTCTCTTCCCGTGTCACTATGGATAAGGTAAGTGGTCTCAGGTTAGTTATTTCTTTCATTTTAAAGTTTCTTTTGATTGTTAGAGTGATAAGAAAGCTTAAGGGAAGCTTTAAGTGGCTTAAAACTCAAAGGTGAACAAGTTATGAGATATTAAGTAAAATGAGATTTTAAGTGAATTATTGAAAAAGAATGAGTATATGGATTTTGAAGTTGAATTTGACTTGTCATGAGTTGAAATAAGAAATTCAAAGTGTTAGAAATGAATTTGGAACATGTTGATTTATTGGCTTGATTATTGAATTCAAGTGTATATATGAGATATTAGATATTAGGATGAATTAAAGTGATCTAAGTTGATTAGAATAAGTGTAGTTAAGCTTAAAGGGTTAAAAGGATGTTCTAGTAGAAGATTTAAGTATGTTTGGTAAATTTTCGGGTAAGACAAATAAATTATGGGCAAGCGGTATCGGTATTGTTCATTCAGTACCGATACTTCAAAGAGAAAATGAGTGATAATTGGGGTATGGGTATCGATATTGGTTGAATAAGTATCGCTACCATAAGGAAAAATTTATAAATTGTTCAAAGAGTATCAATACCAAATGAGTAGTATCGATACCATTAAGCAAGTATCGGTACAATTTTGAAATAAGGATTCCAAAATCGAAACAGGGTATCGATACCCAGGCTTGGTATCGATACCACATCTAGGGAAGTATTGGTACCATACTTTGGGTACTGATACTTCTCAAAGTCAAATGAGAATTATATACTTCATTTAGTTTAGATTATTGATGATTGGTTATAAGTGATTAGAATTAAGATATTCATATTGATTATATGTATCTTGTAGATATCGATCGAAGACAAGTCCAAGACGGTTCGAAGTTATAAGAGTGCACAAGTCTTGTACGTATATGAATGGACTAGTGAGGCCAGGTTAGTGCATATTAGTTAGTATATGATGTTTAATGAAAATAAGACTTGTGACAAGTCTATTTCCTATATTAGAATGCATGAACTCATAAATATAAGCATATGATTGATATGAGTATATGTGTTATATGTTATTGTACATGTGTCTATGTGTAATATGGTATTAGCTATGTGATTATAAAAGTATGTGAATACATGCCTATGAGATAAGCCATGTGACTATGAGCTATGTGAAAATAAGTGACGTGATTACATGATCACAAGAGATACGCCATATGATGTGAATGATTTGATAAGAATCTATAAGAAATATATGCCTATGTGATATGACTATGTGAATATGTGACAAACATAAATGATAATCCCCATATTATGTGTTATGAGAGCTAGGGGTATAGTTGGCATGCCAAGAGTCAAGGGTTCTACGTGGTCCTTCGGGATATATATATGTAATCCTTTGGAATATATATGCGGTTCTTCGGGACACATATTTGGTCCTTTGGAATATATATGTGATCCTTAAGGAGTGTTCATTCGAGACATCTATGTGGTCATTCGGGACATTTCTACGTGGTCCTTCGGGACAAATTCTATGTGCCCCTAGAAAGAATTTATACGAGCTGTGGTGACATCATATGTGCACAACCTCAATGTACCCACATATCTTTAGTTCTCAGAAGTATACATGGGCTAATAAAGAGATAAAATAAATAAACTTGGTATGATGTTATGTGTGTTTCTTTGTGAAACAATATATGTGTTGTATGAGATACAGAAATGATAAGTACAAGATTATATGATAAAAAGGATTAATGATAATGCTAAGATTGTAAATGATTATATATGTGCATACGAGTATTTGTTATATGAAAGAATGTATACTTTTGTATGATATGATGATATTAATTGTTCATGCATTGTTATAAATTAGAGTTTACATTATATGTTTTATTATGTCTCACTAAGTCAATGGTTTAGCGTGTGAGTGTTCCACACGTAGGTTCTGAGAAGATGAAAAGAGATCGAGGATAGGCAAGTCAGGTCAGCTTCT